TCATGCTAAAATGTATATTTTTCCAATACCTGTTACAATAATAAAGTTCCTTAAGAGAAGATACATTATATGAAGAATTCCTGTGTGTGTTTGTACACCCAGTGCCTACTGCCTTGTGGAGAGTTTATGCTTTTGTCTGTCTTTGTTCATTTCCTCTTCATTTAAAACAAGGGTGGAAAATACTGGGATAAAATTGAAGACCAATTATTTTTTCATCCTCATTTCCTCTGTAGTACAACGGGTGGGTTCTGACCCATAGGCTGCCTCCTGAATAAGGAAGAGTGTTTGTGGTAAAGGAAGTTGTAGTGATTAAAAAACTCCAAAACACCACATCTGCAGAAAATGTGTTGGTTTTAATTATTGCCAACTCATTTAAACTTAGTTTCCTCTCACTCACTTCCTTTTCCATTTAAACCTGCAAGGGAAAGCATAAACTCTAAAATGATGAAAATATTTTAAAACATCTCTACCTTAATACTGTATTTCAAAACCACTAGTGAAAGTTGGAACAAGTTCTCACATGTCAGTGAGTGGGTGTAGAGAGCTGGGGTTTACACGTGGCAGATCGGGGACTGAAATATTCTGGTTTCTATGGAGAGTGCTGGGGTTTATACATGGCACATATGGGACTGAAATATTCTGGTTTCAGTATGGAGAGCTGGGGTTTATACATGGCAGATCTGGGACTGAAATATTCTGGTTTCAGTATGGAGAGAGCTGGGGTTTGCACATGGCAGATATGGGACTGAAATACTCATTTTTCATTGGAGCAGTTTTGTACCTCACAGGACAGTGACAGAATTTGGCCATGTGGGTAGTAATCCTGCCCAGTTCCTCTGAGCATAACTCTGAATTTATTGAATATGCTCATTGGATTTTTATTTCCAGGGTTTTGTGACCTGGAGAATCTGTTATTTGTTTTTAGTTTTATCATGATTGTATTGTAGTGGCTTTATAGTTCTCTAACTCCTGAAGATGTTTTCAATGCAGTGGTATAAATAACAGGTCTGTGACATTCATTCTGATAATGTTATTTAGATACAAATCATTAATTCCACTTCTAATTGTGTGGAGTGTAGAGTTAGAAGAGAGATTCAGGTTCCTAAATACTGATATAATATAATATTATTTTGAGTCCTGTCTGAGACCATCTAGGCAGGACTGGCAGATACTGGAGCTTTTGGTGAAGCAGTAGATGGAGCCAGGCAGGACTGTAGGGCCACAAACTGAGAGCTTCCCACAAAGCTCATTTGAATTAATTTTTATTTTTAAATTTACTTGTGTTGCTTTTCCAGTGTAGGTATTTGTTGGTACTTAAGATAAACCCCCTATTTTCTGCTCTTACTGTTCTTCCTATTACTGTTTCTTGCTGCCATAAAGGATAAATTCTTTTGTATTTTTTCCAGAGACACCAGTGCTGATTGCAATTAAATAAAAAGCTGAATGAGCTCTAAGTTACCTTTAATACATTAAAAAAAAGTAATTGTCTGGCTAGGAAGCAAATTACCTCATTGCTGTTGTAGCAGAAAGGATTGTCATGATTTTCTCTCCTGATGAGTTTTACTTTTTCCTGAACTGCCATAGTCCTTTGCTATGAGCCAGAAATTTTTTATTCATTGTTCATGTTACTGCTTCCTATCCAATAATACTTATATTGCATTTCAGCAAGTTTCCAGTTGGAATAAGAAGCCTATTGCATTTATAGTATATATTTCATAGTTTAATCTAGTTACAGGTATATGCCACTCTACAGCATTTGTAATAATAAAAACAAACTTGTCTAATTAGATCAACGAGTTGAAACTTGGATGAACTCTGTTTTGCAGAGAAACAGATACTCAAAATACTGAGAAGAATATTTCTAATGCAGAATTTCTTGTGCTTTCTGGAAGGTTTGAATGGGTGTAATATAGGCCAGAAAGATTTTGATGAAAGTACTTTAAATGTTATGAGAGAAACAAGAGTGAAGAACTTCTCGCTTCAGTTTGAAAGCTCTAAGGAAACATTCAGTGCAGTGAATATAAAACCTTTGTGAGACGTGGAGGAAATGGAACCAGTGTGCAGTCGTTTGTGCTGCCACACCTTACACAGGGGAGCTGGAGGAAGCTGTTTGTACTCTAAATAATCTGATTTTCATTGTATGAAAGACGCTGGTTACATGAGCTGGGCTTTACAGATGCTGAATCAAAGGCTCAGCTTGGTGGTGTTTATCTTGCAACCACAAGTCAAAAATCCCAGTCACGTGCCAGAGTCCCATTGGGAGGGGAATGGCACAGCTAAAGTGCACAAAAGGGGTAGGATTTGTTTGGCTCAGGATCTAGAAATAAACTTGATTGCATCGTGGCAATTTTCACATTTGTCTGTAAAACAAACTTCTTAAACGATGATGAAAGTGGCCTTGAGTGGTGCTGGTTCTACAGAGGAAAAGAAAGCAGATCTTAGGGCAGAGGGGAGTGCAAACATAGCACTTCCTACAGCACCTTAACTTTGTCAATGAGTTTGCAGCTATTTTCCTGTTGTGTTGCAAAGTTACATTTCCAGAGATTGTGCTCCAAATTATGGCTAAATTCAATGTAACCCATTGATTTTTCTCACTGAAATACCAGTAATTCCTAAGTAATGAATTGATTTGATGATAATTTTTTTTTCCATTCCGAAGGACTCAAAGCATTTTATGTCCTACAAGACAGTAAGAACAAAACCAGTGCTATGAGCCAAAATTCAGAGGAGTAAATTGGAGCATGCAATGGAATTATCTGTGTGGCTAGATGGGAGAAGGAGGGAATTTTGGCTAAGACTTGAAGTCAAACCCTAGAAATTACAAACAGTGATGTATAATCCAGAAAAGAGCTGTCAGGATCCAATTTAATAACACTTCTTCTGTCTGCCTTCACCTCTCCTCGTGTGTGTACAGATAATTGGTCAGACCTGTTCAGTTTTGTCTTCAAGTGTGAGGAGTTGGGATTTGAAGCAGTTGTTCTTTGCATTTCAGGGAGTGAGTCATTTAGCAAAGCACCTGGATTCAACATTTACTTTCGTTTTCTTGAATTACCAACAGCATTTATGAAATTATCAGTCTGCTCAGAAAGTAATATAAAAATGGGAAACTCTGTCCTCTGCTTCTAATTTAAATTTCAAGCTGCCAGGAAGGAGATGACTGCACTTCCTACTTGGCTGTAATTGAAAACCAGGTTTTCAGAAAAACAAATTTGAAATTCTCCTTTTTAATCTCTCACCTTTTGAAAGCTCTTTGTATTCTGTATCTGTTCACCTTCACTGTGACTCTTTAAATAAACTAAGTTTCTTCTTGTGCTGTTATAGAACAGCTTGAGATGTAAAATAAAGGTAATTTTTCTTTCACCTTTTATGCAGAGTTTTGAAAAGTGTCTTTGTAAGTTAGAAAAACCTAGGATCTGCAGGAGAAGGCTAATGAGGGATTGATTAATGAATACTAGAAAGAGTTTTATTTTTAAATAAAAATCATCCTTGCAGCCCAGGATAGATGTACATCTGACATGACTTTTGCAAGTTTTTATCTTTGTGGTGTGCTGTAAAAGCATTTCTGTGAACTCTTCTAATTGATATTCAGTTTAAAAGAATTTTAGGTTAACCTTCTGAAAATATCTTAGCATTACTTAGCTGTAATATGAGGGTTAAGTTAGGATGAGGATTGAAGCTTTCCACAGTAATTTGTTGTTGTCATTGAGGAAACATTTCCTAGTTCAGAGACATTCTGGTTTATTCTTATGGGATAAGAAAATAACATTTTCTTCTTCTCCATGCTTGTTATTTTGATGGTATTTAATCATACTCTAAATTGTGATGTTTCATTGCCAGCAGTTCCCCAGCAAGATCTTCTCATGGTGTTTTTGTTCCCACATCAAAAGTATTCAACAACTGTACATGCAGAGCTCTGGCCTGACTGCTCACATCTCTCTGTGGTTTAAAGCTCTGCAAACACAGATACCTGGAAGATTTATGAATGCTTAGGCTGGGAAATAAACCAAGGAAGTTTCTCACCTGTTCTTGAACACAACTTGATTATCAGAAATAACTGTTCAGAAACACTAAAACCCAGTGGTGTTAGCTCTCAGTGGACAAACATCCTCAGTGGGAAGCACCATCAAAATCAGGAGGAGAAATGGAGAGTTACAGTATGATGGGAATGGTATAAACAGTATCAGCTTACTTTGCATAAATCATGAAGTCCTGTGGTACCCTCAGGGTTTTGTGTAGACTTCAGGAGGAGCAAACAGCTCAGCTTTTTCCTTGTCTAATCAGATTTGTAAACATTTTGGTGTTTCTGTGAAATTGCATTAGTATGTGTCTGTGCAGATACAGGTAATATATAATCCTGCTGATACATAATGGAAGCTATTTCTGGACACCTACTGGCATAATAATATTAAAATTCATATTTAACCTGTCCACCTAGAGAACAGTATTAGATAAGGAGATATTGCTCAAATGGTTGTACAGTGCTTCAGTGACCAAATAAAATGAGGTGCCTATACTGTTCTGCCAAGAATAAAACAAATCAGAATATGCAGGGGATTTTGCTTATTTTGTATTAATTAAAAGTAATGGGGTATATTATAGGTTATGGAACTGTTGGCTGGATTGTCTGGTGTTATTCAAGTTCCAGTTTTCATTTGCTGGAGTAAACTTTGGTTGAAATTTTGCGTTCTAGATGTCTGTCTATGGAAAATTTCCTTTGAAAATTTCAACCAAAATGGTTCAAATATTCTCAAGAAGGAGGTAATTGGAAAGATGTTCCTCAGAGTTTTCCAGGGACCTTTAAAGTCTGTAACTATTTAACATGTGAACAGAACAACTGTACCATATTATCTTAGGAATGTATAAGGGGGCTAGTGAGGACTGTATAGATAATCTTAATTCTTGGAGTTGCCATGTTTTGAATGTTTATTTTGTGATAGTGTTTTGTTGCCACGTGGGTGTACAGCAGTTTAATCTGGGGGATTGATGTCATTTTGCTTTAGATTATTGGTTGCCAAGTCAGAAGAGAGCCACTGGACTCCACTGAGCGATACACTCGCTGGATCAATAACCTGACCCAGGAACAACTTCTTACACAGGTACCTTCATTTCAGCTCTGTCTGAAATTACAGCAGCAAAATAGAATAAGAGCTTTATTTGGATGGATTTTTTCAGTCATAAGCAACACTTGATAGTTTATTAAAGATTCTCATATTTAAACACGGTTTGTTCAAGAGAAGCCAAGGTTATGGTGCACATGATCATTACAGAACAATGACCTCAGACTGAGTGAGAATGAAGCTTTCAGGTTTGGAGTGAGCCCTACATGTCTCACTGCTGTCTGTGTTAACTATATTTGCTTTCATGTTCTAAAATTATGGTTTTCTTTTCAAAAAGTGGATTTGAATACAAAAGGGGAAAAAAAAAATCTTTCTGGAGAATGATTCTTCTCCCACCCAAGGTAGTGACCACTCCTGTATCTGTTTAAATTTTGCTTAGGATCATTTTAAACCAGCAGTTCTTCAGGCATTAAACATTGGGCTCATTATGTATTGTTTGTAAGTGAGATGCATCTTGTGCAACTGAAGATGACAGCTTTGGCATAAAGAACAGTTGTTTCATTAGGCAGGAAGCCAATGCTGAACTAAAATAGAGACTAAAAGAGACTTTGGCAAAAACAAGTTAAGCTGTGGAAGAAATCAATCCAGTTTGTGGAGGAATGTTGTACAGAATATAAGAAATCTAATGGATGGTTTGCAGAAAACATCCCAGCAGGCTTTAAGATGCAAGTATTTGGGCTTGGGTTTTGGGGTGTTAAAAGACATTTGGTTTTGATTTCCCTGGATTTAAGTGGTTGAAAAGATTAACATATCCTTATTTGTTAGACTTCATTATAAACTCTGTTGTGTTCCCCTAACTCCAAAAAAAAACTCTAACAGGCCCTGCTATGGTCATTGTAACACAAGAATAATCTACAAACCTTGTTTTAAAACCACCAGTGGTATTACAGCTCCCTGTAATTCACCAAGGGAAAGTAATTACAGAAAAAGTTGCCCAAGGAATATTTGGATTTGCTTGTGAATGTGGCATTAGAAAAAATACAGATTTAAACCAGCGTGTTTATCTGACAACAGCATCTGGATCACTGTGCTGGTGAAGAGAAAGAAAAGCTTGAGGGTGTAAAAGCTTGTCCTGCACAATCTGAAGGATTTCATCTAAATGGCCACTGGATCTTTGATGAATTCAGTGGAAAATGAACAACAAATATCCCGATTTTGAGATTATGCAAAGAAAAACCCCCTCGTTTTAATGAAGATGGGAATCAATGTGTTCTGGAAGAGATTATATAATATTGTGTTCCCAACAGTAGGATGCAAATATGAAAACTGGGAAGTCCCTTGCAATCTTACATGCTACAAATACCTTATAAAGCTTTAATAAATGCTTTTTTTTTTTTTTTTTTAACATATAATTTAGAGTCACACCATTTACAGGTAGATTAGCAATTTTGGATCATACATTGGGGTTGGAACTAGCAGAACTTGTGGTACTTACCCATGAGGTTTAACAAAATGAGCTTTATAGATTCACACTATTTATGTGTTCCTCATTATTTTTTAACGTGCTACCTGTGCTCCACTAAGTTTCATGCAGAAACAGAAGTTCCTCAAAGACAGTAGATTTCTGAGAATTCTGTGAGTGTCTGAAGTTTTGGAGAAATTGTGCTGCAGCAGCTACAATTCACATGTTGTTAAGCACCACAGATTCCCCTTGCAGGAAGATTTTAGGTGCCCAGATATCAGACAAACTTCAGCTGTCAGACAAGCCTGGACCACTTTGGCTTTTCCAGCTTTGGAGCTAAAAGGGCTGCTTGGCTTCTGTGAGCATGTGGCACTTCTGCTTTTGTAATCTTCTGATTAGAAATTCAGATGGAGTAACAAAAAAAATATTTTGCTTTTTCATACTTAAAATGGTAAGGGGCAGAGGAGGAATTGGGAGTAAAAGCCATTATTATAATCATAATAATCAGAGTATGAATCAATTATTTAAGGTTTTCCACTCACCTACCCTAATGTATCTTATGCTTATTTTGTGTATTTTTTTTAAACTCTCTTCAGTACATAAACCCCAAAAACTGTATTGTTGGGCCTGTGCTAATGGATTTGTAGAGTCTCTGAGAGGAGCAGTCCTTGAGGGAATTCAGGAAAATTTGCTTTAATTTACAGCATGTTGTCTGCAGCAGATTCCTGTAGTGAAAGCATGTTTCATTTTTTTTAGCTGTCTCTGTACTCAGTGCCCAGCTCTTTCCAGGCACTTCTGCATTTCCACACCGTGCACATGCAGATTATTTGTGCTGGAAATTGAGAAACCAAGCAACGAATTAAAAAAGGAAAAAGAGCCAATTGTCAAGATCCTGCCATGCCCTATCATAATGTTCATGTTATTGATCAAATAATATCGTGTGGCCCTGGATTGCTGTGCTGGGCAGTGCCCAAAGCCAGGTTTGGGAGCTGTGGTTGGAGGCAGATGTTTGGGGAGGTGCCTTCAGACACTTGTGTGCTGAAACTGCTTGAGTCAATACCAGATTTTTGGATCAAATCTCCATCCCCTGTCCTCATGCTGAGAAGATCTTTCAATACAAAATGCTGCCAGCATTTTAACTTTTCCCTTAGCCCTGGCCTCTTGATGCTTACTCATCCATTAAATGTTTCTCTAAACAATTATACTGTAACATTCCAAAGATACTTTATGGTATGCGTGAAATTTCAGAATATATACCCCAGAGAGTGTGGTGGGAGTGAGAGAGTACAAAGAGAGCATGATAATGAAAAAAACCCTACTTTTTAAAAGATCAATATTTGCTTCTTCAATGTTATCTTCTGCATAAATGACAGATGATCAAACCACACTTTTATGGGTGTACTGATATAAACCTTAAATACCCGTGTTCTGGAAGACTTGCTCTTTCTGGCCAAGAGTAAAAAAAAACAAATAAAAAAGGATAATTGTAACTGTTCAGTAAGTGATAGGTGCAAGAAGAAAATGAGCAAACAAATTAAGACAACTGGCTCTTTTGATGTTAAAGTAAGTGGAAAAAAATGTAGATTAAAACTATTCCAATGGGATATCAGAGTCCAAATTGTGCTTGTAAATGTGACTGAGGTTTGATCGTGCAGCTCTTCTTTTGCACTGGAAATGTTTACTAGGCTGTGTAAAAGAAAAGTTCTGAATGGCTTTAAGGTTGGATTCATTGCACAAATATTTATGCAAGTCATTTTTAAGGACTGTTGCTGACTGTAGGTGAGAGAGCTGAGTTCATGTCCACATCTGTTAAATCACTGCTTTGGGTTAGTTTAGTCTCTCAGCCTGTGAAGTGTTCTGTTCAGCCTGAAGCACAATCCCATCTTTTCCTCCTCTAAGACATTTGCACCCCTTCACGTGGCTTGTTGTTTTAGGAAGCAGACAGCAAACTTAGAGTGACTTGTGAGGAGACTCCTGCCAAAAGGAAAGGCCCGTGGATGATAAGGCTGGATTGTCCTGGTGTGGATAAATAACTGTGAAAAAGGCACAGTGATTCTGGCCATTCTGTCTGTATGACTCCCTCATACCTGCTGGGCTTTGCAGGTTATCTTGGAGCTCTTGGTGTTGGATAAATGTGGAAATTGTCACAGGTGATTTGTAGTTCTTAGCAATAATCTCTGCCAACCACCTGACAGAAGAGCAATAATTAACATTTCATAGCACACACCTCTGTTCTCTAAAAGATGCCTTTTACATTTCACTGACAGCTTGAAAAGCTGTGCTCTTCTACTTACTAAGCCTCTCTATATTAGAGTTTAATTAATATTTGATAAAGTTTCATGCTACAAATCAGCATTTACTATAAATGCTCAATTTGGAAATAGTTCCAGCATTGTGGTGGAGTCAGAGCATGTAGTTCATTTTCAAGGCAAGGAGGACCTGACTGCATGGCTGGTCCTTTTCCATAAATTCAGTGCACTCAATATTCTATTATCATCATGTGGCTCAATAGGGAACTTTTTAGTGGTCAAAAGCTGGTAGGAGTAGATTGCAAGTACAATGAATTTTCCAGGTGGGCCACGGATTGAATATCTCTGGCTTACAGCAGCTGTTTTGTCTACCTGCAGACAGAAAATTCCATTTTATTAGTTCTTGGGTTGGCTGTCCATGTGTCACAACTGAAATAATAATCAAGGCAGCAATCTGACAGTGGATGTATGCAATGCCTGTTGTCTGGTTATGTTAGTAAAGGCAAAAACTGGCCAGAGGGAAAGGCTTTCTTACTTAAGAATGAATAAAACATGAAAAGGCTGATTGAAATCCCCTCCACCTCCCCTCCCTCCCCCCCATCTTTGCCACTATTAATGGCTCACTTGTGTTTGTTGTCTTTCAATAAAAGGATACTCAACACTTCCTTGGGATTTTTTTGATCATTGTTTCCTCTTCCTTCACCCATATTATCTAAAAATGTGTCATTAATAGTGAAGTCCTGATGTTTTTGTGCTGAGTGAAACAGCCAAAGTTACTGGTTGGTACAGCAGATTCCAGCAGTTTGTATGGGATTGAGCCTGTACCATATAAAAAAAAAAAAACCCAACTGGCTGCTTCCTTTTGTGGTTGGTTGATCCTTGTTCTCTTCTGGAGGAGAATGAACCAAAGTTTCACAAGCTTGACAGTGTTTATATTTACATGTGAAAATGCATGTCAAAGGGTTCATGGAATTCTAGAAAGTTTAATGAGAAGTGGCTTAGCCACATCTGTGAACTCAAAGCACAATTAGAACTTCCCAGTGAGGCTTTATGAAAAGGCAGCTCAGGGTCACATATTTTGAACTTAGAAACAGGTTTGCTGGAATTCAGAAATGTATACAGCTTGTGCTTTGTGTGTGTGCAGTTTTGCATGAGTTTAAAGGTGTCCCATAGGGAAAGGAGTGTTAAATAACTTGTATTTTTCCTCTTCATATCTTGCTTGATAATTTGCATGACTAAACAAGGCTGGAATGTGGCTCATAATACATATTAATGTTAAAAAGGAACAGAAATATTGTAATATAGTATAAAAGGGACTTGTGATGACA